TGCTCCGCTACCTCCCGGCAGCGCCCAATCCATCGCCGTTGCCGGCGAGCCGGCCCGCTGGAAATCTGTGCTTCCGTTGCAACGAATTTCCCGCGCGAAATAATTTCACCGTGACCTGGCGTTGCGAAATTTTTGTTAAAACTCGCCACAAGAAATCGTTGCCCGGTCGACAACTGAAACAATATACCGCGGCAGATCGCAAAAACGAACGGCGCGCTACCGTTTTATTGTCCGACATTTACGGCGGACATTGTTTCGGTGAGAAATTAGAGCGAACCACGTTTTTCGGGATGCGTCATGGTGGGCTCGGTTAACTAATTAAACAAGAAATTAGAAATTAACTTATTGCGAAAGAGATTACAATTGCATAAGTTTATTTATTGTTAATGTTTATTGATTATGTATAGATGTATTAATGGTAACGATTAAATATTTATTTGATAGAAGAGAATCGAAATATTGAATTTTTATGTGCCATTTTAGTGTTCCTAAAAGTTTACACATTAACACTCTTCAATTTGTTGAAAATCGAAAGGACGATATAACCCGTTTAACGGCGTCGAAGGAAGAAACGGTTCACGCGGTTTAGTTTCTTCAGGCCTCCATCTTTTTTTCACCGTGGACCATTATGCAAGATCCTGGGAAAAAAGGAGCGTTTCCTTGTGATCGGGAGACAGTAAAATTCAGTATCAATTTTCGTCTCTCCCACCCTGTTTAACCCAATTATCCCTGGCGTCGCTAATGGGCCGACTTTTACGACTCGCCAATTTCGTAAGCGCTGTAAACGTTAGAACGGTGTAACCTAACGAGCCGGCGCGGTGCGGCGTGGTAGTAAATGCATCTAGTTCTGGGTCGTATGTTTTCATTGTGTACAAATTGCGCGTTGCCCGTAGGAAAATTCTATTATTCCCTGCACCGAATAAATTTCTCGTGTTTCCATGGGAATTAAGCAATTCCGGGCTCCTAAGAGTTTCGTGTGATTCCAAGATTGTAGGAAATCCAGTAAAGAGTGTATTCCTCAAAATTATCAAAAGAATCAGAACGTAAAATCATTGAATCGGTGAGAAAGTAATTAGTATAAAATACTTCATTTTTATGGATACATAAATGAGTTTAGTATTACTTTATCGGTTTATTCGATCAATTATATAACGTGGATTAATTATAGAAATAGAATCAATGAAAAATAATTTCTTGTAATTTCTTAACGAGCGAATGACTTCGAATAGTATAATTACGGTTCTTAGAACTAATCGAATGAGACGGTGGATTGTTCTTTTCCTAATGAAGATATAAAAGCTTCCTTTTTCATCCCTGACGAACGCTCAGTTAGCTTCGCTATAAGTGATCTTCAAGGCACGAAGGCTGCAGTAGTTCGCGAAGTTTCCACCTTGGCACCGATTCTCTAAGACGACATTTCTCGCTACCTTTGGCCTGCGCGATCTCCTTTTCGAGAAAACTGGCCGCCCTTTACATGGGAGTGCGCCGGCCAGTTGCCTAATCTTCGCGCTGCTAGAAAACGATTTGACCCATTGGTCCCCGTAGAGTTCAGACATGCTATTGGAGTTTTGATTATTTTTTAATGCTATTTGACGTGACTCCTCATCGTTGCAATGAAAATCGTAAGCGAAAAAATGTCTGTGAACATCTCATTTGTCAGCAGTAGATAATAGATTCTTAATCCTATACTTTATTTCTAGCTTAACGATTCTTTTAGTTGGCGAAGCTAATTTCTTGCTTTTTCAAAATTGAATTGCCAAAACTAACTTTTTGCTTTTGTACATTTTAATTGACAAAATCATTTATTGCTTTTGCAAACTTTAGTTGATAGAACTAATTTTTTACTTCTGCAAGTTTCAGTTGAAAAAAACTGATTTTTTTCTTTTGCAAATTTTAGTTGGCAAAGCTAATATTTTACTTTTGCAAATATTACTCGCCAATCCTGATCTTCTACTCTTGCAAATATTAGTTGCTAAAACCAACTTCATAGAAGACGGAAATCCAGAAACCGCAGAATTTTACACAGAATCCCCCGAAGTTTCACAATGCGTTCTTCACCGCCCCAATTACTCAATTATATACATAATTAAAAAGAAAACCTAGCGTCTGCCGGGTTAAGCGAGACAAATTGACAAGGGAAGAGCTACTTAATTAGCCGGTTTCTGCAACAAAAACCTCGTTTCAGTAACGCTTATTACGATCATGGCGTTTGTGCTGCCAAATCAGGCCCAGTTTCCCAGAACGCCGCTTTGTTTTCCCGAAGGGAACGAATCCAAGCACGATTTTTCGTGCGACTATGACCGACCGACCGT